AAATTTAAATATTAATCTGGGTTGATATTCAAATTCAGGAAACGAAAGTTTTCAAGATGATAAAAAAAGAATTAAATAGCAATTTCACCATGATTGAGGAGTTAATTTTGTTTTTAAATGTTTACAGTACTTCAACGGGAAGAACATGAAAGGGACAAATAATAGGAACTATTATTTAATTTTATAACACTATTTTCCCATAAGAAACCTATCTGGAAAAGAGGAAATAATTGAAACCATATTTTAATACAACAACAGTTTTGGTCTGTCAAAAACAGATATTAAAAACTTGTCACATTTACAATGTTCGTTCTCAAGATCTTAAACTATTTTTGATGAGTGAGATTTTTCTAGTTTGGTATAGGACTTGTCAAATTCATGGAATAACAGTATGAGCAGCAACTTGCAAGACCAACCAACTGTAAGAACTTGTTTAAAATTTGACCAAGACATCAATACCAAACCACCAAGCAAAACCTACTATAATCCTCTTACTATGTTTCTGATTTTGCAGGGCGAAACATTGGGCAAGTTTCCTTACTCCACATGCCACTGTTTACCTAGCTGTAAGTAGGAACCCAGTTGTTAGTCGACTGGCAGATCGCTTTTCCGGGCAAAATAATTCCTTCAAAGAAAAATAATAATAAATTGGTCACTCAATCCATGACTGTTTGTGGGACACTGCTGTGCACTATTGGCTGCTGCATTTCGCCCACAAAATATACTGTTAATTCACTTTACAGTATATATTTTGTGAACTGCTTTGAGATATCTTGAGGATGTGATAAGGCTCTATATCAAATATTTTTTCGGAGTCCTCTCGTGTATTGGTTAGAGCACTCGCCTCACAAGAGAGAGGACCCGGGTTCGATTCCTGGGCAAGGCAAAACTTTAGGTAAGTTTCCCCACACCTTTTGTTTACCTAGTAGTAAATAATAATAATAGTAATAGTCCTTGCATTTGATATAGCGCTTTTCACGTCGGGAGGACGTCCCAAAGCGCTTCACAGAACACACTATAAAGTGAATTGACTGTATATTTGTGGGCGAACGCGGCAGCCAATTGCGCACAGCAATGTCCCACAAACAGTCATAGATTGAAAATTACCAATTTATTGTTGTTTTTGGTTTTTTGGAGGGATTATTATTAGGTGTGTGGAGTAAGGAAACTTGCCCAAGGTTTCGCCCTCTGCCTGGAATTGAACTCAGGTCTCTCGCTTGCAAAGCGAGTGCTCTAACCACTGAGCTACAGGACTCCACAAATAGGAACTTGGTTGTTTGTCAATTGGTGGATCACTTTTCCAGGGGTAATAATCCCTCCAAAATAAAAAAATAAAAATTAGAGATCACTCAAACCACAACTGTTTGTGGGACACTGCTGTGCACAATTGGCTGCCAAATTTTGCCCACGGTATATACAATCTATTCACTTTACAGTAAATAAGTGAAGTACTTTGAGACGTCTCGAAGATGTGATAAGGGGCTATATCAAAAGCAAGGATTATTATTACTGTGTCTCTTTTTATTACTTTTCTGTTAACTCACCAGGCAGCACAAGAGCTAACTGTTACAACAATTTGCATTTATATAGTGCCCTTCACACATCTCAGATTGCTTGACAATGGTAGAGCATGACGCTGAGCCAGTGGAAGGGGGGAGGTGACCTTAAGCACAGTCGAAAAGAAGGTCTTCAGGCGCAACCTGAAGATGGGAAAGGAGGCTATAACCGTTTCACACACAAAATACAGTCAATTTACTTTACAGTGTATTCTGTGAAGTGCTTTGCAACAATGTAATCAGGCACTATATCAAATACAAGGATTATTATTAACAGTTAGGTTGCAAATAGCAGTGTAATGTATCTAGTGGGATGACATCACCAAAAACTCACGGCCAAAATCCTGGTAAGAAAAACATAGGTATATTATCTTTGAAATCTGTATAATCACATCATTAGGCAATGCACTCAAAGTTATGAAGGAGACAGCAGTCTTTTTTGTTAGTTCCCAGGCTGTAAGCGGAATTGTGCAGGGATGAAATCATAATTCTAAGCTCATCTGTCTGCTAATGGGTTTTACATGAGAAAGAAGATAAGTTACTAACTTCTGAATAGTTTAAGTACAGCAACCCAAATGTGTTCTAATCTATATGATAATGGTTTCTATATAACCAAATTTACTTTGATGCACAATTTTCATTCCACACAATTAGAATCCAAAGCATTTTACAAAAGAAAGTTGTTTATTCTATTCAATCTTTTTAATTAGTTTCATCAAGATATCCTATTTTTTTCTTAGGCAACTGAAAACCTACCGATTCAGTATTCATGTTTTATCTATATGGGACAACACTGGCAGGTTCATACGGCAAAGAAAAATAAATCAGTTTACAAAGCACAAAAGAAATGTACTGTATCTGAAATCAATAAGGTGGAAAGAGTAGCGAAGGGAATTCAATTGGTTCTCTTTGGAATAAAGACTTGAGTGTTGACCTAAATTTAAAGGGGTCAATAAGGTGAAAGCAGAGGGTTTTTGTAAAACACTAGGAAAACAAAAGAAAAAGACATCCTAAAAGGTTATGCCAGTTTTCCTTTATGCATTTGTTTCTACATTGTACTTTAATGCTCTTGTGGATATATGTGCGCAGAAAATGTAGTCATGGCCAATGGAAACTTTGATAAATACTAATAGTCTGTGTTTCAATAAACTCAACAGGGTTTACATAGGGACCCTGGCAGATGTTGAGTCACTGACAGTTTGGATCCAGCAATAGTGGAACAAGAGTGCCAAACGGAAGATTTTGTAGCTCAGCGGGTCATTATAGATGGCACAGATGACTATTCAGGGTTTGGAACCCAATAGGTCTACATACAGTAAATCACCTTAAAAGGGAGTCAGAAAATACTAGTTTCAAGATCAGACCATTATGGTATTTACACATAAATGTTGTCATTATTAATTTCACTTAATCACAAAAGATAGTGCTTTCCTCCACATTGATATTGATTTTCCTAACAGCCTCCAGTTAAGGTTTATTGCAGAGTTTATTGCCCATAATCTTTTTATTTTCTACACATCTGTGCCATGACCCGCTGTGCCTTCCCCCACCTCCGCAACATCGCCTAACTCCGCCACTATCTCACACCGCAGGCCGCCAAAACCCTCATACATTAATTCATTACATCGAACCTTGACTATGCAAACTCCTTGCTTGTCGGCCTCCCCAACTACTCCCTCCATAGGCTGCAGATCATTCAGAACTCTGCAGCCCGTGTCCTCTCCTACACCAGGCTCCGTGACCCTATCAACCCCATCCTCACCCGACTCCACTGGCTTCCCATCACACAGAGGATATAGTTCAAGATCCTGGTTCTCATCTTAAAGCCCTCCATGGTTTTGCTCCCTCCTACCTCTGCAACCTCCTAACCCCCTACCATCCTGCCCGCTCCCTCCGCTAAGTGAGCTCCGGCCTGCTTCACGTCTCCGCCTCGCCCCTAGAACTCCATCCCGCAGTCCCTCCACCTCGCCCCTCCCTTGCCTGCTTCAAGACCTATCTCAAGATCCTCTTCTTTGACTGTGCTTGTGATCACCCTGCTTCCCCCCTGCCCTCCACCCTCCCCAATCTCGAACCCCGGCTTTGGTCCAAAACTCTAGATTATCCAGCACTTGGGACATCCTCCCGATGTGAAAGGGACTATACAAATGTAATTTTGTTGTTGTTACTGATGTAGAACATGTATGTGAGAGACTCTGGTATCTACTGCACTGCAGTGACATGCCATAAATAAAAAAACACTAAGAAGAAAATCGGCCACCAATAGATTTAGTAATACACCTACAGAATCTTACAGAATGTACTTTGAAAGCAAACCCTTAATGATTTCTAAGAAGCATTTATCAAACTCTTATTATGGTTTATAGGTCATATATATTTTGTTCAGGACTTCAACCAGTGATCAGAGTATATAGATATCAGTGTTAATTTTAACAAACTGCAGGATAGGTTTTCTGTCACTTTCTCTCCTCATCACTTCCTGCTTAGCAAAGTCAGCTTGAGTACCACCCTTGGTGCCAGAAGATTCTGCTTCAAATCCTAGTGGGGTAATTCAGCCCTTTACCCTTTGAACACTATATACAAAGCTATGTTACATAAGAACATAAGAATTAAGAGCAGGAGTAGGTCATTCGGACCTTCGAGCCTGCCCCGCCATTCGATAAGATCAGGACTGATCTGCAGACCTAACTCTAATTACCTGCCCTATCCCCATATCCCCTAATCCCTATTTTTTAAAAATCTATCAGTCTCAGCCTTGAAGATGTTCAAGGACTGAACATCTACAACCGTCTGGGATAGTGAATTCCATAAATTCACTACCCTCTGAGTGAAGAAATGTTTTCTCAACTCTTCTAAAAGGTTGACCCTTAATGTTCCCAGAGGACATGTCCTTAAATGTGTGAACCAAAATCTTGACAGGTCAGGCGGTGGACTAGTACTGTGCTACATGACTCCCAATACTTTGCTTCTCTCCTATTCTTTAGTCCTGGCATGCTGTACAATGATCCTTGACCCAACAACAGTTCTTCAACGTAAAATAAAAACAGTACAATTTATAGCACTACTACAGAAGATATGTATGCAGTACAATTTCTTTTTAAATATCTTCTTTCTGTCCTCTATAATAGAATTTGCAAAGATCAAAATTTGCAGATTCAAGTCACAAAAGTGTTCAAGTGCAATTGTAGGCCATTTTCACTTGTACCATTGGGGAAATCATTGGGCTAAAATCCGATCAGCATTACACTTTTACTAAGGTCGCCTGCTAATGAGATTTAATCGTGCATTGCCTAAAGATTTTCATATTGTCTAGTTTTTCATCTCTTTGCAAAATCTACAGTTGCCTGAAGCAAAGCAACTTTCTGCCAACTTTGATGACGAACTTCAGGTTCATATGTAAGAAAGTAACTGTTGTCTATTTTATGGCTATACTTAAAGTCATCTTACCTTGTGTAATTTGCCATCTTCCGTGCCAACCAGAAACATCTTGTCATCCTCTATGTGGAAATCGAAGGAGGTTCCACAGTCTAGCAAAAATTGCAAAGAAGATAAACAAGGTTACAGACTCCAGTGGCTTCTGCTTTCCCTCTAGTGCGGAGGACTGGAAAATACTTCAAGTTTGATGGATTAATATTTTGTAGTTTTAACCCCTGCACTGCAGGACATTCCTCTTTTCTTGGGCAAACTGTATTTGTACAAAGAAAGAATACAACAAGAAGCCTAAAGCAAGATATGATTAGGTCAGGAAGAGAGCCCACCCCCAGACGGGCAATAGGGAGAAGGACTTTCCTAGGAACGTAGGTTTGTAGGAGTGACCTATTGGCAATGAGCTTTGTTTGTGAATGTTTCTGTGTCTCTCTCTGCCTTTCACTCCCTCGCTTTCTCTGGCCCTCTCTATCGCTATCCAGTCTCCTTTTAGTTTATTCTCTTTGCATCTCTAACTCTTAATTTTTTGAGAGTGAGAAATGAAGAGAGCATTCCCGTGAGGTTTATTTTTTTTGAGTGTGAGACAGAGAGAGACAGAGGGAGAAAGAGAAAGATGGAAGGAACNTTTTTTTAATGTATAGGTGAGGATGATTTCTTAGAATTAATAAAAATAAAAAATCCTTACATTTGGAATCCACGTCAAGTACTTCACACAATAAGCTGTAAAGTACCGTGATTGTGTGTTTTGTGGGCAAACACAACAGCCAATTGTGCACAGCAATGTCCCACAAACAATGTGAATGACCAATTTTATTTGGGGGGAGGGGGTGATTGTTGGCCAGGACAGAGAGAGAGAGACAGAAACTCCCTTCTCTTTTCTAATAGGTCCATAAGATCTTTAATGTCTACCTGAACAGGCAGATGGGGCCTCGGTTTAACATCTCATCTGAAGAATGGTACCTCCAACATCCCAGCACTTTATTGGAATGTAAGCTTAGATATATGAGTTTCAAGTCTCACATAGGCCTTAAACCCACAACCTTCTGACACAGAGGTGATTGTGCTACCATCTGAGCCAGGCTGACACATTGAAGGCTGAATACGAAAACATGAGATTTCGCATATCAAATGCAAGGATTATTATTATTATTATTAACACATTAGACTAGCAGTTTTGGGGGGGAAGAGGGGGTGTTTCTAGAAATTTTCAGGATAATTTATATTCCAGTGGGTCTTGGAGTTTTCCTATTACAAAATAGGCTACGGTTGAGTAATTTATCCATTTTCACCCTACTTTTTTGAGTGCCTGCACAGTAGGGGGAGAAGTCCGTGTGTCTTCCCACTGAAATTATCACATAGGCTTACCCACAATTTTCAGCTGCAGATTTTCCAGTTCATCCTTGCAGAGTCCATGTATTATGAGCTTGATGATATCTGTATGAACAAGCTCTTCCTGAGTTTAACAAGAAAATACATCATTAATCATGCTGTGACTGCTGTTTTTCAAACTAAATGAGGAGCAAAATGTTTTAGATTCGAGGTGGCTATAACAAATCACACCTTCACAGGTTGGTCCCTACTGCCGACTTCATCAGAGGATTTAGACTTGCTTCAGGTTTGGAGCAAATCCTTGCAGGTTGTATTTTAAGATATAGTAATTTTTTTAAAAGTCCAGTCGGGTATCTGATATATGCAGAAACCTATCACCATGCTTAAGAATATACAAATCAATCTGAGAGTTCCACATATGTACGCATACTTTCCTGTGGCTGGAATGGAATGTGCACTTTCTGCCCAGAGAGGAACATCCTTTTTACCTCATTCCAGAGTGTAATAGGCGTAGGTTGGTAAAAGCCAAGACTTGGGAACCCAGGAATTTGCATTGGGATATTGCTGGGGTTTAACCAGTTAAAACCGCCAAACGTGTTATTGAGAACACTGTCTGGAAAGCTTCCCACCGCTTGTCCAGCTAGGATCACTCCATCCATTTGAAATTTGGTTTGCAGGGTGAACAGGAGCAGATTGGGAAGAATCCCTGCACCAATATACATTTGGATCCTATTTTTGTCAAATGCGTGATTGATAGGAGGAGAAATCCCTATGGCTTCTACTGAACTTTGTGATCTACTCATACAGGTCCTGCTGATGAACCAGACTGCCTGGTCTGTCATTAGCAGTTCCTTGGAAAACTGCAGGCCCAACTAGCTCAGAAAGTGGTTGCGGAGAATGCCTCAGAGTGTTACATCGATTCTGACATTCCATTGCCCCACATCATTTTGGAGTGAGGTCAGCTCCACATAGACCCAGCTTATCAGCCTCCAAGGAAAATAGTTAGTGGATGGTAATAATGCTGATACATTATTTTGCAGGGATAAAGTGGGTGTTTTTTGGCAATGGCAGCTAAAATAACATTTGGTATTCAAAGTCTTTTCCAGAAGCCAGCTGTGTTGGCACAAATAACTGTTGTAATTCTAGCTCCTCTAAGCTATGATTCTCAAGAGGACTACAGTCAATCAGGAGATCTGCTGGATGGTATGGTGCCAGAACCGACCATTCATTGGGATGTCTCGAAGACGTGATAAGGCGCTCTATCAAATGCAAGGATCATTAATTATTATTATATCATTCAGTTCTGCTGTGAGGTTCACTTGAAACTGATCCTGATGGGTCTTGCTAGGCAAAAGGCAAGAAGAACCAAAAATTCTATATCTGTTCAACAACAGTTAAATGAAAGCCCAGAGTAACTTAACTTCACAACAACTTCTAACTCATTATGCAACTTCTAAATATGCAGAATTCATTAATAGACTTGAAAAACCAGTGCCAATTGTTTTGAAATATATCAGGCACCTACTTTCTCAATTGAAACGTAACATGTATCCTTAGCAATCGGTATAATGTCAGTCGGGTTTCTGGCCTTTGTGACCCCTCCGATCAAGCAAAATTGGTAATAATAATAATCCTTGCATTTTACATAGCACCTTATCATTTTGTCCAAAAAATATAGTCAATTCACTTTACAATATATTTTGTGAAGAGCCTTGAGACATCTTGAAGACATATAAGGCGCTAAATCAAATGCAAGGAATATTATTATGTCTCAAAGTGCTTCATAGAATAAACTGCAAAGTGTGACTGTATATTTTGTGGTAGCTGGTTGAGTTAGCCATGGGAATACATTATCAAATAAAATAATAATAATAATCCTTGCATTTGATATAGCGCTTTTCACGTTGGGAGGATGTCCCAATGCACTTCACAGAACACACTGTAAAGTGAATTGACTGTCTATTTGTGGGCGAACGTAGCAGTCAATTGCGCACAGCAATGTCCCACAAACAGTCGTAGATTGAAAATGACCAATTTATTATTGTTTTTGGTTTTGGAGGGATTATTATTAGGCGTGTGGAGTAAGGAAACTTGCCCAAGGTTTCGCCCTCTGCCTGGGATTGAACTCGGGTCTCTCACTTGCAAAGCGAGTACTCTAACCACTGAGCTACAGGACTCCAAATGCAGGGCCGGGAGTTCAGATGACCAAATACTGCATGTAATATCATATTGAAGAATTAAATAGATATTATATTGTTTCTCATGATGACTTTTTGGGAATAATTTGATTCTGTACCATGTTACAGTGCAGTATTGTATAATCAACTTCTAATCGTCTGCTGATCTTGGATGTGAAGCCCATGTTATATATTTGTTGTATTAACTAAAATAAAGACATTTATATGACAGAAATTATACAATTAGGTCAGTAAAAACTATAGCCATGACTTTCCCAATTACTTGGTCCAATAAATAAAGCTGACGGCAAGCACCTTAGTGCTCCTAATAGGATGTAGGTTCCGGGTTATAGCTGCCCACATTGCAAGTTCCACCATGTTGGCCTTGTGGTAAGCGTTTTGGACCTTGCAATTCGTATACAGATGATAATTATAAATCTAAACTGTTACAATGGAGATTGCTATGAATCAGGACTATTTAAATGTTAAAAAATAGGGGAAATACTCTACAGTAACTTCTCATTTGTGGAAGATTTCCCATAATATCATGAGGAATACCTTCAATATGAATTTATACCTAATTCACACTTCTATGTTAAAAATGCTAGAGGCATGCAACTGCCTACATTAATTACCCGTGACTAGTGATAATGAGGTGAAAACCATGACATGTATTGAGTGAAGCTGACACTGAAATGCTAGTGGTCTGGTTCAATGGCTGCCATGGGTGACTTCAGGCTCAACTCATTTGGACTAAATCAGGGAATTTTCACCCGCAGCCAAGCGTTGACATGTTGGGACATTGATAGGAGCAGAATTTTCAACATGATAATGCCACCGGTAGTAATTATCGGATTATATCACATTTCTCACACCAAGTAATCCAACCCCAATAAAAGAAAAGTAGCAGACAATACCTTAACTAAAGCCCAGCAAACAATTCTTCCATCTGATGAGATGGAAAAAAAGTTCAAATTGTTGTCCAGGTCATCTTTCTGCCATTTCACCTGTAAAATGAACACCTTGTACAGTACTATAACATTTGGCAGGAAAACAATGATAATACTTCCTATTACCACAGAGCAGAAGAATTACATCACTTGCCAATACCAAGGATGAATACCGAACAAATCTGTAACTGGTGATTGGCCAGGATGCAGATGGACAATATTTTATAATGATAAGTCAAAAGTAAACAACAATAATATATGGTAATAATCCTTGCATTTGACATAGCACTTTTTTACGTTTTCTAGACATCTCAAAGCTCTTCACAGAATATACTGTAAAGTGAATTGTTTGTATATTTGTGGGTGAAACGCAGCAGCCAATTGAGCACAGTTGTTGTTAATTTAATTAATAATTATTGAAATTATGCAGCACTGTTCATGTAAGGTAATATCTTGGAGTGCTCTACAAGGTCAGGGTTGGATGCTGAGCAAGGGAAAGTCGAATGGAGCACGAGGTGGCCAAAGGGATGTTTGAAGAGGTAAGATTTGAGGCGGGATTTAAAGGCAGAAAGAAAAGGGGTCAGACAGAGTGGTAGAGGAAGGCAGTTCCTGAGGTTAGGGGCATAGGAACCAATGGTGACATGGAGAGAACATGGGCTGTGCAACAAGCCTGCGTTAGCTGGGCGGAGGGGGTGAGCGGAGGAGTAGGGCAGAAGAAGACTGGAGAGGTAAAGAGGCCATTTCGAATGCACACTTCAATAAATAAGATTCAGAAAACAATGGTTTACTCTTCACTTGAACGCTATGCAAATGGTAGAGTTCTAGTTCCTGTACCAGGCAGATCATATAAAACTCTGTTGATGGTATTTGGTATTAATTTTGTAATTGTCACAATTGGGGAGGGGAAAGGAATTGCAAATTGCTCAAATGTTGTAAGCCTGGAAATATAAACTTGTATTTTCTCTAGGGAATCCACTGTACATCATGCTGTCTTAGAGCCTTCATCTCTCTGATGATTTCAGAGCTGAAGCTGATGTTCGGAGCTGAAAACTCTTCTCAGTATGATATACAGCAAATTTCTTGTACGACACCCACTTTGGGTCATGAATCACATTTCCCAGCAAACATTTTTCCAACCCTAATGTTGAAGTACAGTGTTCCATATACACATTGAGTGCTAGCTCGCTAGACTGGAATACTACACTGTATGAGGGGCACTATATAAATGCAAGTTGTTATTATTGTTAAAGCACAAATGACTTGTGGTATTATTCCAATTACTTGTTAGAGTGCTGTGACTCCAGTGACACATGTGTGATATAAAAAGCACTAGAGAAAAATACAGTGAGTTACAAGACTAGAACAATTGAGGATACACGTTATGACAGAAATTACTGGAGAGTATGTGCGAAGGCCTTTATCACACAACTCAAAACAGTAATGATTATTTGTAACATTTTAATTGGCTCTTCCATTTGATGTGTGCAAATTGGTTGCTGAATTTGCTTGCAAAATACACAGTCACTACACTGTACAGTATATTCTGTCAAGTGCTCTGAGACATCCTCCTGATGTAAAAGGAATATTATTATTTTACTTGTTCATTATTACATTATTCATGATTTTTTTTCAAAAGAACATAGTATTTTACAGGAAGAGGCCATTGTGGTCTGTTTAGTCAGTCCTAATATAAAGCTAACAAACTACCATTGTCATTCATGTCTCATTCCCTAAACAACAATTACCCCTTAAGGTTGTTTCAACTGGGTCCAGAATTGTATTTTAAAGAACTTAGATAAATATTTGAAGAAAATAATATTAAAGAGTATGGGGAGAGAACAGGCAAATGAGAAGACAGCACGGACCAAATGGTTTACTTCTGTGCTGTAATCATTCAATAATTCCATGTTTTCATTATTCTATGAACTCCCTGATATATCCAGATTGTTCTGCGGTTGGGCCTTCATCCTCTCTGCCCTCAACCACTGGAACTCCATCCCACATTCCCTTCGCCTCGCTCCCTCCCTTATCTCCTTCAACCGTGCCTTCGGCCACCCTCTCTGTCCTCCATCTTCCCTGATCCCAACACCCCGCTCGGGTCCTAATCACTAATCCCTGACTATTCAGTGCCTTGGGACGTCCTCCCAACCTGAAAGGCACTTTACAAATGTAATTTTGTATTGTATTGTATTAGCTTGCCCAGTTAGACTGCCTAGAATTTATGGTTAACATCAAATTATATAACGTAGGGAAACAAATTAGGCAAATTTCCTGACTTCACAAGCCTCTGTTTACCTAGCAGTAAGTAGGATCCCGGTTGTTAGTCAATTGGCGGATCACTTTCCGGGGGGGTAATAAACCCTCCAAAAAAAATAATAGTAATAATTTGGTCATTCAATCCAAACTGTTTGTGGGACACTGCTGTGTGCAATTGGCTGCCACATATCACCCACAAAATTTACAGTCAATTCACTTCACAGTATATTCAGTGAGGTGCTTTGAGGCGTCTCAATGACATGATCTATCAAATGCAAGGATTATGGTATATTATTATAAAGTCTGGATACAAATGAAAAGAGGCATAATTGAGTCCCACTCTTGTTTATTGTCTGAACATGAGCCTCAGTAATGATGTTATTATTCATTCTGCTGGTTCTCTGGTTTTCCATTATAGAATTAATGAGCACTACTTATCCTTATTTTAGAGTGACTGATTAAATCGATGAAAATAGCTGGACCCTTTATTCTATGCATTCTTTTCATTTAAATTTCAGAACTACATCCTTCAGAACTGTGTCTGAAACCATGGACATGCTTCTATCTGGAATGGAATCAACACCAACACCAGTACAATTTTGATTAACAACTTAAATATTTTTTTATGCTTGGATATGATCTGGTGAAACCTGTCGAGTGAAAGTAGACAAGGTTCTCAGGTTGTAGTGCGATAAATACCATTAGAGCTGTCATGTCGCTAGGATAATAGATGCTGAAAAATTAAAAAGTTCGACTAACTGTACATCTGCAAAGATTGTGAATCTTAATACAAGGATCTAGTCACCGTTGCGTGAAACTGACCTGCCAGACAGGATCGGTGTGTTTGCCAAACCTTGATGTGCTCATGTAAGAAGGTGTATTTGTTGTTTCATGGATATTATAAACAGCAACACTCCCATCGTAAAAACCAACAGCTATGAGATGTGGATATACTCTGTGGATGTCCAGGCACAAGATACTGCTTTCTGTAGTATAAATAAACTCTGGGAAGGAAGGATTTTTCAAGGTGTGAAAGAGGAGCATGCCACGGGTCTGCTTCATAAAGTCATCTGGGGGAGAACAGAGAAAAAAATCATGCTATAAAAACTCTATAAAAACAGATAAGGGACATTCATCACAAGCCCTACAGAATTTTAAAAAGAGGAAACAAAGCATATTAAAATTAAAAAAAGGCAGGTTGAACGTCTCTTCTGAAGGCCGTTACCTCCCGATAATACAGAACACCTCCAGTACCGCATTGGAGTATCGGCATAGACTATATGGGTTCCAAGTCCTAATATGGAACCTTTCAACTCAGGTGAGAGTGCTACCAATTGAGCCAGGTCGACACATCAAATGATCCAGGCTGACATGCTATCTGAGTGCATGTAAATATTTGTTTTAGTCTGACAGGGCTAATTTAGCAATATTAACTAACTTGTCCATAAGGTTTGAGTTGCTTTATTAATTTAATATAGTATTTTTTTCAGCATGGTCGCACAACAGCCAAAAACATCCCCCTGTCTAGGAGACTAGCTCTAAGGAATGGCCATTTGAACTATACAAATCGGCTTCTTGAACAAACCGTAATCACTCGGCTTGTGAAATTTCTCCCCCAATATCCCCCAAATAATCCAGTAAAATGTAATCATTTCCATCTGTTCTTTTGTTGCCATTATTCAAGCCAAAACAATTCCTATACTCAGTTATTTCCAGTCCTAGCCACATAGGGCTGGAGTATTTGATCATCATCTCTGTGAATATTTATTTCTATAAACCTCAGTCAGTCTCTTTCCAAACCAAATATTTGAGAATAAAATAAACAATACAGCATTCAAAGCTTTTGTTCCACATCTTTGTATGAAAAAAAATTCTAATCTCATTTCACTTGAGGTTTTTAGTATTTTCTCTGAACCTTGGCCAGTGTTAAGCGCTCCGGGACTCCACCCCGTATGAAGGGCACTATATAAATGTGAGCTGTTTTTGTTGTATTGATGTATTTACATTGGAGCAGAGCTCCTACAGGTCAATCTGACATACTTCCAGTTACCCAAACGAGCCAGGCAATATTTAATCTTTATTAAGGAATCCTATGAAGAAATATCACAAAACCAATTTAAGATAACAACAGAGAAAAAGGGGAGATTAGGAGGGATTGTTTTACATAAAGAGGCGTTAATATGTGGAATGCTCTGGTGCATGCAGAGATCAGGCAGAATCCGTATTAATTTTCAAGTGGGAACTAGATAGATCTCTAAATAGGAGTAATTTTCTTGGGCATGGGGAAAAGGTAGGAAAATAAGATGGAATAGATTCTCTTTTAAAATAAAGGTAATACTCCATTATAAAAGGTATTATTTTCAAAGTTCACAAATAATTTGACAAAAACTATTTAAGAACAAACATAATAATTTGCTAGGCAAATGAAGACCAAGGTCTATCCAGTTCTTCTTCCATTATCCTGGCAATCCCTTGATAGGTTGTGTCCCAAACTATACACTGTATCTAATTTGTTCTTGAAACACACGACTTTCTGCTTCCACTGTCTCCCTAGGTTTGTTGTTTGTGAAAAAAAAAGTGATTGTAAAAAGAAAAGTGATTGAAAAAAAACTTTCACAGCCAGTGGAGAGGATGTTTTATACATGACAAACTTGAAAACCCAAGATTCGTGCATCAGCATGTGCAACAACTCTGATTAGTCTTCTCACTAGAGGCAGCTAACTGACATTTATTATACACAATTCAGATGCGTGGCTGCTTTATTCCCCTCTGGCACAAGCTAGAATAACCAAAGAGCCAAAGAACAAATGGTGTGTTGACTTACAGACTCACTTTGTAGTGCTTACTTCACTAGATTATCTGCAAACAATAAGTTTACCGAATTGAGGCAATGTTTCAAATCTCGCTGGGCACTTTCTGCAACAGTGGGCAGCTTGGATTCAAAAGCCCATTGTGCAACCTTGTCCATACTGTGCAAACCGCCCAAACCAATTAACCCTTTGAGAACCAAATTGTACTCATTGATTCATCACAATTTATTCTCGAAACTGATGCTTCCCACGTCTAAAAGCTGAAAAGGATAATTCACATGGAAAGTAAAGGATATCAAATCTAGGACAACCAGGTGATGTTCCCAAAAGGTCAGGAATGATCTCATCAGGGGCAGGAGCTCCAGTTTTCTATGAGGGAAATAGCTTTTCTTTTGCTAAAAAAAAGTAAGATTTACTTTTGCATTTGCCCATCTCCCAAAACTGTATTCTGGAAAAAAAAGTGTCCAGTGTGCAAAAAGTATTGTCCGTGACAACCTGATTACTAGAAGACAATTTTTTTAATGAGCAGGATGGCAGCCAGTCTCTGCACCAAAGCCAACTGCAGATTCAGCACACTCACCTTATAAGATAAAAAGAAACCTAATAGGAGAGGTCTCATAGGGGAATTGCCCTGCAAGGAGGCAGTGCTAGCGAATGGAAACACCATAATTTGCAATTAAAAGAACAATTATTCATGTTATAAACAGAATCCCTTGGTCAAAGATGTGACTGCAATCTTAATAGTTTACCACCATACCCTAGAGTGTGAAAGTTCTATGCACTGCGTAAATTTGTTAACATTTTCTTAATGACTGAGCAAGTTTGGACCATCTGGGCAAAATGTTATAGAAATACCAAGGGGTTATCTGATTATCAACAGAAACAGAGAAGGAATTATATTGCTATGTTTCCAATTACAACCTTAGTTTAGAGGAAGAATTAAAAGTGAGATACAGAGATTTGGCAATGAAAAAAGGTTGAAATGGGATTAAAATATATGAAGTGCTGCCACGATCCAATAAAAATGGTGCGAACAGTTGTGACGGGTTAAATGGCTTTCTTAAGAGGTTCCGTAAAAAGTTAAGAAAATTCAATCACAAATAGCAAAAATGCAATTTACAACAAATTATCTCTGATTGAAGCAGCTTCAAGGCAACTGTAGCGTCTGTAATGATCATTCTACCAGCGATAATGAATGCAATCTGATGTTTGACATTCCAAATTATCACGTACAATCCCTTCAACTGGATGAATCCGAAAACAATGTCGACAGCAGTAAATGTAATGATAATTATGTTGGAAAAGATTAGGATGTTTTGGTTCCAGACAGATTGATGTCTGATCAGCATTCAGAGCAGCAGGAGGCAAGTCAGAACGCTCGTTCTAGTCTACAAAATTCTAACAAACATCATGAGAAATGAAGAAAACCAAGACACACAGAATTATAATAAGAATAATCCCTGCATTTGACATTGCACCTTATCATTGAGACATGTCAAAGTGCTTCAAAGATTATATTGTAAAGTGGAGTGACTATGTATTTTGTGGGCAAAGCTGTGTCCCACAAACAGCCATGGATTAAGTGATCAAATTTTTTTTGGAAGGGGTTATTACTTCAGGAAAGTGATCTGACAATCAACTAACAACTGGGTTCCTATTTACTGAATCATAAAAGGAGGCTATTCGGCCCATTGTGCCTGTGACAGCTCTTTGAAAGAGCTATCCAATTAGTCCCACTCCCTGCTTTTTCCCCATAGCCTTGCAACTTAATTAAAATAAATTACTGCTAGGTAAACAGAAGTGTGTGGAGTATCCTCCTGATGTGAAAGGCACTATACAAATATAATTTGTTGTTGTTGTTGCCTAAGGATTCACCCTGCCTGGGAATCAAACCTGGGTCCTCTTGTTTGCGAGCGTACCTCACTGCGAATGTACTGTTGCCAGGATTATGGAAGGTCTTTGCTTTACTGGGAAGCAGGATTATTTCAGTTGCACAAACCATTATTTGGCTTCATTAGCTCAATATCCCCCAGTGAATCAAGATCAGAATTCTTGTTTTCACCTTTAAATTCCTTCACCCTATCCCTGTGACCTACTATAGCCTTATCAAATCAGCTGCTCCCTTCATTCAGGCATTCTTCATGCTTCCCACCCGATCCTCCCCATCATTGGCAGATGGGCTTTTAGACATTCTGCTCCTACTCTCTGGAACTCTATCCTCTGATTTGCTCTAACTCTCCCCTCTTACAAAGATTGTTTTGAAACATGCCTCATTGATTACACTTTTGATCGTCTTTCCCCTCTCCACTGCCCACACCCCTCCCCAGGCTCCCACCCTTAGCTTCAGTGCCCATTCAGCAATGTGAATGCGCTTTGGAACATCCTCCCGATGTAAATTGCATTATACAAATGTAAATTGTATTGTATTTGTGCAATACAGCGTACACTCAATTGAAGTAACTATCATCAGCACAAGTCATTTAAAATTACTACTTACAAGAGCCATATCCGACAGCGAAAAGGTCAACGTATTTTGGATTCCTGAAAGTTACAAACAGAGATGATAGCACATATTCCTGTTTAATTACATTTTAATCCCCTCTTTTCCATACTGATCAGCAGCCATCAGTATTGCTTACATCAGTATCACAGAGAGAAAACCAGAGCTTAATCTCTTCAATTCGGTCACTTAGTGAGAAAGCTTGCATCGCAGCTAAATTTCGAGAACTCATTTCATCCGCTGCTGCCTCGCAAGACCCAACAATGCAATATACAGGTCCAGTGCACTTTTATGCAGCAAATAACAGACACTTGCTATGATTTCAAGTCTGTAATATAACGAGTTTGAAAGGACAATTGCAATATATGACACTTACCAGCAGATGGCAGTAACTGCTAACCTCTTGGCCTTGTCATACTGGAACTTCCACAGAGGGAGCAGAGTACCTTCCTGTTCTCTGAACTCATCAGAAGGATCTTCAAAGTACTTAAAATCTGCATATTTCCAGAAAATAAATTGAACATGGAATGTAATTAACCCGCGTTTCATTGATAAAGTTAAAATGTTGGTGAGGTCAAACGTCTCTCTTGTAATTACAGCTCGTCAATGCAAAAAATAATTAAAGGTTCACTTTTAAGACAGCTTATTAATAATAATCCTCGCATTTGACACAGCGCCTTTTCGCATCTTCGAGACGTCTCAAAGCCCTTCACAGAATATACTGTAAAGTAAAATGACGGTATATTTTGTGGGCGAAACATGGCAGCGAATTGCGCACAGCAGTGTCCCACAAACAGTCGTGGATTGAGTGACCAAATATTTATATATTTTTTAAGGGATTATGCTGATGGGATAATAGTGATGAAAGCTAAGTTTGGTGGAAGTCATTGGATATCCACAACTGGCAGAAGGGAGAAAGCCTCCAGCTATCAACCAGAGGATTACCTACTCTTATTGAGTAGTTATGTCTACTTAGCTCAGTTAATTGGTAGAACCAGAGTCAGAAGGTTATGAGTTCAAGCTCCACGTTGGAACGTGGAGCCAGTTTTCTGAAAGTTCTTTTAAAACCAACAAAAAACTGACTTCAGAGACTGAATGCTAGCCAACAATCGTCCACATTAATTGGTCATTCACTTTGGCTGCCGTGTTTTGCATAAAATATACAGTCAATTCACTTTTAAGTCTATTCTATGAAGCACTTTTGAGACATCTCGAAGATGTGATAAGGTGCTATATCAAATACAAGGATTATTATTATTATTTATTGCGGTTCCAAAGCTTTGCTATCTATGCGCAAAACGACCATTGCATTTCGTTTCAAGAACAATCCATTTTCTTGACGGTAATTGATAATCATCTTTATATTTGCTTTATTGCCTTATCTTGTCATCAAGACATTTAAAGTACTTCAAAGGATTATACATATAGTGACTGTGTATTTGTAGGCGAACGCTTTGCAGCAATTTGCACACATCAATGCCCCACAAACAGGCATGGAGTAAATGATCAATTTTATCTGAAGAACTGTTGGCCAGGACACCAGGAGAAACTCTTCTCTTTTCAAATAGTGCCATGGGATCTTTAACATCCACCTGAATGGGCAGATGGACCTCGGTTTAATCTTTCATGTGTAGAATGGCAGCTCAAACAATGAAATGCTCCCCGCAACATTGCAATGAAGTTTCAGCCTTCAGACTATGTGAATTGAAATTCACAACATGGAGTTTAAACCCACAATTGAACCTAAATACTGTAGAACACATTGAGATGTTTATAGGTTCCATAAAATGTAAGTTCTTTTATTTCTTCTTAGTCCTCACTGTGTCACAGACATCTACTCTGGGTATGATTCAGCTCTAGTGCCATAGATGAAACAACTCATTCTGTAAGGAACCCTCCTCGTTCAACACATAAAAACACATAAAAAAAACTTAAAATTCAAGTACTTTGGAAGTGTTTTTTCAAACAATTGAGAGCTCAAATTATTCCTTAAAATGTAGGTTTTATCTCCAAAACTGCACCATATTGGAATACAAAATAATTTACAATATATATTTTTATTATAGAGTAAATATTGCAGGAATAAAATGCAGTGTGTGAGCTCAAAATATAAATAACCAACTCAAGAAGCCTGAAATTCCCCAGACATGACAACAATCTAAGGATTAAGTGAAAAGGATAGTACCAATTTCAATTTAGACATGATATTCAAAGTATAATATGTACATTTAGTCAAAGATGACAAGTGTTGCTTGTGCATTCCATTTCAACTCAACCACTATTGAAACAATAAATAAGATTGGAATGAATGAATGTATGAATAGAAGGAAGCCAAATGGTTCAAATTGAGGTTAAGGGAAAAGCAATCTGAATTTGTGACATACTTGGGTTGGGAGGCAGAATGATATCTGGATTAAAGGGGCTTAGTTATGAGGCAAATTGCGGCTGTACTCCTCAAACAGAAGAGATTGGACAGTAATCTGATTAAAGTGTAAAGAGAACTGACAGAATGAAACAAGAGGGCATAATTGAATTAGTGCTGGATGTGTTAATAGTGAAATCAAAAGACATATCTTTACTCAGAGAGCTGTGGGATTGTGGAATTCATTTCCACATAAGACTGGTTATGCAGAGCCGGTGAGGATGTTTAAGAGGGACACAGATAAATACTTGGCTAGTAAGAGTATCAGGGTCTAGAGAGAAAATTCAGGCAAATGATGTTGAATTACAGATCAACCATGTTGCTAACTCTATCAATCTTTAAGTATGCGAATATACTTGGAAATCCACTAATATTAATCATTGCATTTGATAAAGCGCTTTATCACATCTTGATATCTCAAAGTGTTTCACAGAATATACTGTAAAGTGAACTGACTGTACATTTTGTGGGCAAAACGCGGCAGCCAATTGCGCACGATATTGTCAACAACAACAACTTGGATTTATATAGCGCCCTCCATGCCGGACGGCATCTCAGAGTGCTTCACAGTAACGGATCCTGGGACCGAGCCGGGGGGAGGGGAAGGAAGGTGACCAAGGGCGCGGTCGAAAAAAAAGGGCTTCAGCCAAGACCTGAAAATAGGAAGAGAGGGGGTGAGGCGAAGGGAGTGAGGAAGGGAGTTCCAGAGCCTCAGGGCATAGTGGCTGAAGGCACGGGTGCCGAGAGTGGAGCGGCGGACTCGGGAGACAAGGAGGAGGCCAGACCTAGAGGAACGAAGGCAACGGGCACTGTTTTGAGGAGAGAGGTCAGAGAGGTAGGGGGGAGCAGAGGAGTGCAGGGAGTTGAATACAAGGGTGAGGATCTTGAAGTCGATCCTCTCTGGGACAGGCAGCCAGTGCAGTCTGGCAAGGACTGGGGTAATCGGGAAGTGGGGTTTGGTGCGGGTGAGAATGCGGGTGTCAGAGTTTTGTATAATCTGGATTTTATGGATGGTAGCGGAAGGGAGACCAGCGAAGGGCGTTTGAATAGTCCAGCCGAGGGTTTCAGCGGCTTTCGGAGAGAGGTGTTGGCGGAGACGGGCGATGCATTGAAGAAAGCAGTGCTGGTGAGGGACCGGATGTGGGGGGTTTCACAGGTTGCGTACGGGTTTGGAGCATTTTAGAAGGAAGTCGGGTAGGTGGAGGTGAGAACCGTGAGATTTTAGTGTCCCACAAACAATCATGGATTGTATGAATTACTACGATAAGGGAACAGAGCAGAAGAACCCCATTGTTCTAAGCTGATAAGCTCTCCGAGACCCTGGTCCCCAGAAGGGCACTATATAAATGCAAGTTGTTGTTGTTAAAGGATGCAAACACACCTTGAATATGAATATTCTTTAAAATCCATCATGATGATATTTTAAAGTAGTGAAGAAAAGCTGAGTGGGATCTTGTTTCCAACGGGATGCAATAATAAAAGTAGAAGAGAGGCAATTCAACATTTACATGTTGGCAAAGGATGAACTAAGTTAACGAGCTAATGTTGTAAAAAAGTATTTCAACTGATTGCATTTTATCATTAACTTACTAAAGATAGAACTGTTTATGTTTTCATTTGCATTGATTGTATTCATTAATGCTCAAATGGATTCTTACCATTAACTTACAAACAATGAAACCATTAGTGTTTTCATTACTTACATTTGCTTCTATTCAGTAATGCTGGAGTAAGAGCCTTTTAAGGGGTTGACAAGCAATTTTAAAATCAATCATATTTGACATTAACTGCAGGAGTGCAAAAGGTTATTCCAATGTAAAGAGTGACAGAATGTGGTTTCAAGTCCTGTAGCAATTATGTTTTTGTTTGAGGAGGGGGACCATCCTTCCATTTCCTCTTTATTCCAAAAGAAGGAATGTTAGTTCAGCAATGAGAGCGTGATCATGCTTTTCTTGTAACACTGTCTATTTAACATAAAGCATGACAATTTAGTCTATCTTACCTTGTGCAATGTCATCAAACGCATTCTGGTTCACCATTCGTTCTACTATTTTAGCAGCTTTAGCAACTCTTGAAATATCATCACTCTAGAGCAAATACAAACAAAAAAATATAAACTCAAAGCCGAAAACAAGGATGTAAAACTGGTATGTATATTTGCGTTCAATTTTTATGTATTTATATATATACGTAAAAATTGAACAATTAACACTTTTAAAGCATCTTTCATATAATTAAACATCTCTAAATGCTTTATAGAAATAGATTGAGAACCCGAGCATGAGGAAAGATAGAGGGAGGACACTGATTTCAAGACTATTTTTGGAAGATTGCTGCATGCAAAATGACTGCTTTTGCCTACCAACACAGTCACTACAGTTTACAGTAAATCCTGTGAAGCACTCCAAGACATTCAAAGATGTGACAATGTGCTATATCAAATGTAAGGATTTTTTTTAGGAGGTAAAGATCAGAAGTACAGGTTTTTAAAAGGGCTTTGAAATTGCAAAGGAAAGGTGCAAGGTGAAGCAAATTACAAAGAGTTCAATAGAAAGAGGTCAAGGTGGCTGAAGACTTGTCCACTGATGGTCAGGTAGAAGGGTGGAAGACATGGAGCAGGCCAGAAATGGCACAGCAGAAAATGAATGGAGGAGTAGGACCATAGAAGATCACAATCAAAGATCTGGAAAGGGCCAATGGCATGTAGGCATTTGAAAGGTAGAAGATCTTAGTCATTTCAACCAGGCATGTCACCTTGGAACCAGCCCCAAGAACATCCCACTTAATTCCCCATTCCCTCCCCCCACCCCTGGAGTATAGTCACTAGTTTGACATTAGACATCTGCCAAAACAGGTTTGAGGCATTGCTAGGTGGACAGCAGATCGCAAGGAACTCTGCAAGTCTCTTGGTGAGCAGCACAATTCAGCATGAAATGAGCGAGAGCATTGCCACTGTCCTCCTACCTTCAGCTTGTACACAAGTTCCTATCCGTTAAATGGTGGTTCTACCAGTTGGAAGTATTCTTGCATTTGATATAGCACCCTATCACATTGTTAAGACGATCCAAAGCGCTTCACAGAATATACTATAAAATGAAGTGACTGTATGTTTTCTGGGCAAAATCATGGTAGATACCAAGCTCTGAGTATATGAACCAAGCGTCTGACCTCCAAAGGCATTATCACCATGCTTTCACCATCCAAACCAAACTACTATGGAGCCATCTTGTTCACCTTATTCTGAAAACTAATAGTCATAGGTTGGCAACAGCCAAGGCTTGTGCAAAAGTGCAGGATGCTCCCAACATGAAAGATGATATATAAATGACAACAACAACAATTTGCATTTATATAGTGCCCTTCACACAGGACAGCATCTTGGAGCACTTGTAGTTAGCTTATCATGTTCTTCAATGATACTGCACGTCTGCAAGATCTTAAAGGGGATGTATCAGGATGCTATTGTAATTTGTGATTTGATTTTTTCTGACAAGATAAATCCCAAAATACATGTATTAATGCATAGTGTAATAACCATGTATATGCTGGTATTTATTTCTTATATGGATGCAGAACAATACTAGTCAGAATCAGGTACCACTCTTGAGATATTATAATAATAATAATAATCCTTGCATTTGATATAGCGCTCTTCATGTCTTCTCGACATCTCAAAGCGCTTCACAGAATAGACTATAAAGTGAATTGACCGTATAGTTGTGGGCGAAACGCAGCAGCCAGTTGCGCACAGCAATGTCCCACAAACAGTCGTGGATTGAAAGCGACCAATTTATTATTGTTATGTTTTTGGAGGGATTATTATTAGGCGTGTGGAGTGAGGAAATTTGCCCAAGGTTTCGCCCTTGGAATTTAAAAGCAAACATTTTGTTTTATAAAAGACAGATACTTCTAATAAAAATGCATTTGTAAATAGTAATGATACATGGATACACAGATGAACTCCATTTAAATTGTGAATAGATAATATTGACAAAAGATACAAATAGTGCAAATAAATAAAACTAAATGTTAAAGATTATAGACATCAAAGAAATGATATATCCATTAATATTTAGTGTATTTTATGACTAATCCAAAATCTTTGTTTCAAGCTGTCTGAGAAGAATGAGTTCAATTAAAGCAGCTATTATGAAGATCAATGTGACAAAGAAATCAAACAAAGTGCAAATAAATCTAAGGAAAAATATATAGTTCATATCTAGAAGTCTGCAGTTCCTAAAATAACTACCACCTGCTTTCCCAGTACTTTCAGCTACAAACAACAAAATTTTGACTTTTGAAAAAATTTTGAAAAATTTTGAACATTGTAGTGATTACACTTTGGAAAGGCAGCAAAAGTCACCATACTATTTATTTTACCTAAAACATTTCTTGCTAGCTAACCGAACACTTACCTGGCTTTCAATGGTTGTTTGTTTCTTCTTTGTTAACCTCTCTTCTTTTTTCACAGCTGCTGCTTTGGGCTTTTCTTTCTTGCTCTCTAGCTTCTCCAGTTCTTCTGTATAGGCGTCAAATATTTCCCACTGAACACAACAGCAAAAAGCAAGTCATATACACAATCAAACCAACAGCATGAGTCCTCTTCAGCATAAAAACATAAAAGAAACAAACGGTACAGTTATACTGCACCTATTACTACAGCTACTTTTTTCTTGTATATTTCAAAGGAAAATGCAGTTTTGCTGTTGAAGGATGACTCAGAACTCACTAGTGGAACTCAGATATAAATATGCCACAAATGACATTTGATTTGGATAGGTATTATAGTGTACAGAGGTAAATATACAAAATATATAAAATTTAACAAACAAAAGGCATGTATGATATGAATTAGGATATGGAGGAGCAGCAATAGTGAATTAAAAAACAGTTCAGGATAGAGCACAACTCAGAGGTACATTATTCCCATACCCCAGTGATACTATCATAATTCTACACCGTACAACTTACAGAATCAATTGGCAACCAGTTAAAATGAAAACGCATTGCATATGCACATTTTTACCTGACTGGCAGTAGCTGCAAAATTTGCTCTTGGTGGCGGTTCTGTCTGGCAACCATTCGCCTGCAAAACAAAGGATAATATTTCTATGAAAATCATTGTCACACAGTAACAGATACATACAGGGTAGCAGGAAATGGGACTGATGGAATTTGGAAGTATAAATAGTTAATAATAATCCTTGCATTTGATATAGTGTCTTATCATGTCTGCGAGATGTCTCAAGGCGCTTCACAGGATACCCTGTAAAGTGTAGTGACTGTGCATTTTGTGGGCGAAACGAGGCAGCCAACTGTGCACAGCAGTGACAGCAATTATTATTACTGAGGGATTATTATCCCCCGGAAAGTGATCCGCCAACCGACTAACAAGCGGCTTCCTACTTACTGCAAGGTAAACAGAGGCGTGTAGAGTAAGGAAACTTGCCTAAAGTTGCGTCCCAACTGGGAATCAAACCCAGGTCCTCTTGCTTGCAAGGCGAGCATGCTAACCACTATGCTACAGGACTCCACTTAGTTCAATGTGAAAGAAAAAATATGCTGAGGCAGTGAAAGATGACATAATCGAATTGAAATGAACGATTCCTCTGATAGATTTGTACCGAAACCTGCACAACTCCTGACAAGAATGCATTTCTGTAGACGTGGACAATTACTGACATCTTCAATCTTATTGAAACTACTGCATCAGTCAAAACAAAATCAAAGGATTATAGTAATAATAAGTAGAAACGGCACAGGTCATTATTCATTTAAATTGGCATAACATAGAATAATAGATATTACAACAGATGTGAGTGCCATAACTGGAGCTAACTATTCCAATCCCAATTCTTTATTCTTTCCCCCCAAAAAACTTCTGGTTTGTTGCTCTTTAAATGTTTATCCAGCCACATTATGTAGCCACAGCGTGGGGGCGGTGGCACCTGTCTGTATGGTTAGCCAATCTGGCAGGTGTCAATCTGGCTCAGTTGGTAGCACTCTCGCAGGTGTTAGCTGGTCTCAGATGGAAGCACTCTTACCTCAGGTCAGCAGGTGGCGGGTTCACACTTTGTGTCAGGGACTCTGACACTCCAGAGCAATATTAGGAAAGTGCTCTAATGTTGAAAGAGCCATCATTTAAATGAGATGTTAAACTGAGGTCTTGTGAACTTCAGGAGGATGTTAAAGAACCCATGACACTATTCAATCGGAAGGGAGTTTCTTCCGATGTCCTGGCAAACAATTCTAAAGTTAAATTCACCGCCTGATTTTTCATGGGATACTGTGTTACATAAATTGGCTTTTGAGTTTGCCGACAAATACAGTCACTAGACTCACCAGTAATTTCTGTGAAGAACCTTAAGGTATTCTATCAAATGTAAGCATTATTAAATGTAGGGTGAGCAAGTGAGCGAGCTCCTAGAGTGCTGGATCAACACATGGCTTCTGCGATCAGGCTGATAATGCAGACCACCACCTCCGAGGATTTCAGGGGTATCCAAAGTTTTGTTGACCCTACAATTATTGGGGCATTGATAGCCACTGTCCACAGCATTAGCGAGTGGTCAGAGAAACACCCATCCTGCAATGGGGCACTTCAGTGGGGCACCACTCAATGGTTGGTTGGGCAGCTGTTTGGCATCAAAACAAGCCTGCAAGAGGCACAGGTAGTCAATACACATTCCTGTCATTTGTTGTTTTCTCTACGTGTTGTTGATTGATGTTTAGCGATTGACGCTAACTTGTGGCAAACCGTTCCATTTTCTAATAACCTCCTGTATTAAAAAAATTTCTAACCTGCCTGAAGACTCTTCCTACTTTTATTCTTCCATGTTATCGTTTAATCAAACTGCAGGAATAATCTTTCACTATTCTGTCAAAACTACAGGAGTCCTGTAGCTCAGTGGTAAGAGCACTTGCCTCACAAGCGAGAGACCTGGGTTTAATTCCTAGCAAGGTGAAACCTTGGGCAAGTTTCCTTACCCCACACGCCTGATAATAAACCCTCAAGGGAAAAAGCAATAAATTGGTCACTTCAATCAACAACTGTTTGTGGGACACTGCTGTGCACAACTGGCTGCACGTTTTGCCCACAAATATACAGTCAATTCACTTTACAGTATATTCTGTGAAGCGCTTTGAGAAGTCTAGAAGACGTAAAAAGTGCTATATCAAATGCAAGGTTTATTATTATTATTAAAATCTTTCAGAAATTTGAAAGTCTCTATTAAATGCTCTCTTTCTCAGTTCCGGTGAAAGCAAATCTAATTTCTCAAACCTATCCTCACAATAGAACCATTCCTGATATTAGACACAGTATTATCCATGTGAACCTAAATTATAACCCTTTCCATGGCTCTTATATTGTTTCTCTAATGCGTGTCCAGAACTGGAGTCCTGTAGCTCAGTGGTTAGAGCACTCGCTTTGCAAGTGAGAGACCTGAGTTCAATTCCAGGCAGAGGGCGAAACCTTGGGCAAGTTTCCTTACTCCACACAGAGCCTAATAATAATCCCTCCAAAACAAAACAATAATAAATTGGTCATTTTCAATCTACGACTGTTTGTGGGACATTGCTGTGCGGAATTGGCTGCCGCGTTCGCCCACAAATATACAGTCAATTCACTTTACAGTGTGTTCTGTTAAGCGCTTTGGGACGTCCTCCCGACGTGAAAAGCGCTATATCAAATGCAAGGATTATTATTATTATTACATGCCAACTGTGCTTAACCAATGTCTTTTGTAAATTTAACGTTGACTTTTAATTCACTAGGAAATAGCATTTAGTGTTTTTTTTAACAATGAAACATAACTATTATGCACCAATTTCTAATTAGTGATATTTCCATTATTTATTTGTAGCAGGAAATTGGCTCCCAATAAACCCACGATTCGGACTTTCTTAATATTTCTGCATTGGTAATTGATATATACTGTAACTTGCTAGTTTAGTAATGGTCTGTCCAACTGATGTTTGCACTTCTATTTATTGTTCAATAATATTGAAACACACACTGCAGAGTAACTTGCCAAATCACAGTAGAATTTGACATCAATTTCTAATTGAGACCCAACTTTGTATTAAGCCCATATAAACAGAAATTAAGGCAACAATCAGGTTTGCTTGTGTCTTGAATTATGACAATCTCCCATTTTTCCCAGTGGCCAGAATCTCACGCACAAAACCATTGCAATATTGTATCTGAAACAGAAAGTACAAAGGAAAGAATATAAGGAAGCATATTTTTGCTAAGCTAAACGTTTTAGGTAACAAGGGGATTTGAGAAAAACTTTCCTCGGTATTACAAGTTCATTAACTATAGCTCCAATTGGCATTTGATTGAAATTATAACTGTAGCTTACCCGAACAGGATTGTTGAAAGTCTGAGAAGCTCGCTCACTAAAGTTAAACTGGTTGCGGATTTTCCGTTCATATTTAGGTTTCCCACCCTTTTCTACATCTTCCTCTTTCGCTTCGCTTTCTATCTGTAGAGAAACAAGTGATATCATTACATAAAGTAATACATGCAATTCAATAATGATCTGTATTTCTAATCAATCACAAATTGAAATTTTACAGGCATATTTTACTGGAAATCACTTAGTTAGAAAAAAAAGTAAGTGTTAAATAAGTAAAACTGCAAATGTTGTCTCCAATACACATGGTTTGTTAACCAACCTAATCTCTAGCGTTTTAAGTAACCTTTTACTGGTTAAAGAATTACACCTTGAACTAGTTTGAATGTTATGCTCGAAAGGGGAAAAGACCATGGGAAGCACAAAGTGAAGCATGCAATGGAGTAAAGTCACTGGCATTCTATATCCTAACTGCTTGGAAAAATTCCCCCTAACCTCACTGTTTTGCTAACAAACTTAAATTGATACCGTCTATAGGATGCCAGTGGTTGAGGCAAAATTCATGTTAACCTTCAAAAGGAAGATACATAGCTGAAAAGGAGTAAACTAAAGGGGAATGAGAATGCCACATTGGCCTCTGTGCCAGGTAAATGGACTGAAAGGATTGCTCTTAAAAGAGCCAGTATGGCCTTCTGCTGAGATGTAAGTTTCTATACTTTTAGGACTCCCCCAATATACAGCACTCAATGAAAAATACATTCCAAGACTTTAAAAACTGTACAATATCTGTGGCTTCCGGCTCCTCTGTCCCCTCTTCGTCCTTATTCTCGGTTTCTTCAATTTCTTCTTCCTCTCTTGGCTCAGTTATTCCAGAAACAACAGAGGTAGTGTCTGGACAAAGGAATAGGAAAAGTTGTGATTTTAAGGATGACCAAATTTAAATCTTATGAAACATTTCCTTTCCCAGTGTGACATTGCTAAACTCTTTTCCATAGGTAAATGTTAAATTACAGTAAACGTTAATCAAGGCTAAAATTCAAACTCTGTTCTCTTATGACATCATTGAGATGTCTCAAAGCACTTCACAGAATATATTGTAAAGTGGATTGATGTCATTGTGGGCAAAATATGTTTATTTTTACAGTTGCCAGTACCAAAGTAACAACCAGGATGAAAAACACTAGAAACAAAGTTGCCCAAAATTCAGACACACCGAAAATGTGCTTTGGGACTTCCTCCCGATATGAAAGGTATCACTATATAAATGTAACTTGTATTGTATCTACAGGCACATAAAAAATAATCTTGTAAAGGTTTTGCCTATAGATGTGTGGATGAAAATGGTAAAGTAACTGGATTATAAGCGCCTCCAACTTGGTATCGGAATCCCTGCCACAGCACAGCACCCATAGTAATAAAAGCGGCATCAAGACTATTTGCAACTGAATCTAACAGATTTCCTTAATCACAGTACCTCCAACTGAACTTATTTTAGACAATTGTCGCCGTGCTTCATCCGAATCCACATGCAGCAAGTGTCCATCCACTGAATAATGAACAGCCAGTTGCTCTACTATGCTGACATGTTTGTACACCCTTTCCTTGAGCATAAAAGAAAGTGTTGAGTTAGAAAAACAACCCACCTATGAGAAAAATGTAACTCACAATGCCATGAAATAAATTATACCCATGATTATAAAAGCTTTATAACAGACTAAGCCATTAAGATTAATGACACAATAAATTTAATTTTTATCAAATAGCTTTCATACTTTATACAGTGCAAAGTTTTAAAAATCTTCCCTTTTTAATTTCAGAGGAGAACTGCATATTTTATTGTTACAACTGGTATTTCAACTTCAGGTATACAATTGTAATAGTCTTGAGCTACAATAGTGTGAAAAGCAGATACAAGTTGCTTGACCAATTTAAGAGAACTATGGAAAACTTAGATTCAGCTTGAAAAATTGAATTGTGCAATTGTAAGTTGTGCTGTTTACTTGCATCCAAGAGGAAAAGGGGGAGGGCGGAGGGTGGCGATCATGGAAGGTAACATTACAGGAGTAGATCATCAGTTAATCTAGCTTACTTATACAATGTCCCATAAAGTTCTTTAAATGCACAGTGCGCTCCTTTTAATTTTATGAGGTGAGGACTAGACAAATGCCATGCAATTATACAGAGTATGCAATTACTTGAAGGCATGGTCAACTGAACTCCGGGTAATTCAATTCATATGAAACAAACAGTATATATTTATTACTTCAGGACAACTAAAGTAGTAAGCTAAAGTAAGTGTGATATACCTCCTATTAGAACTCGCCAAATATGCAAGTCAAATTGTACATGGTCATGTGGTCAACTCCAAAGCCAATGCAGTTATCCAAACTAATTATACAGGTGTGAATAAAATTGGCTGGCTATTTTTCATGCATTTAAGTGAATTATGCATTTATCTGATATGTATTTAAGCAGAGTGTAATACTGTGCAAACAAATAGTGAATTTTCAGTACCTGAAAATTGTTATACATTTAAATGGAGTATGCAATTATCTGATATCCAATTAAGTGGAGTGCACTGTATTTATCTCTAAATCAAATAACTCTGAATCCTGTTAGTGGACAGGAACTTATATAGTTCCTTTTTTAAAACCTTTGCAGTTTGTATTTCTTATTATAATAATAATAATCCTTGCATTTGATATAGCGCTTTTCACGTCTTCTAGATGTCTCAAAGCGCTTCACAGAATATGCTGTAAAGTGAATTGACTGTATATTTGTGGGCGAAACGCGGCAGCCAATTGCGCACAGCAGTGTCCCACAAACAGTCGTGGATTGAAATGACCAATTTATTATTGTTTTGTTTTGGAGGGATTATTATTAGACGTGTGGAGTAAGGAAACTTGCCCCAGGTTTCGCCCTGCCTGGAATTGAACCCAGGTGTCTCGCTTGCAAGGCAAGTGCTCTAACCACTGAGCTACAGGATTCCACCTTGTACTGTAAATTCTTCACCTTGTACTGTAAATTCTTCCATGTGCCAATCAGCTGATACTAAACTGTGCTGTAAGTTCAGATCTATGCCTTGTTTTGTGCTTGTAATCTTTGAACAGAAAATGATTAATAAACTCATTATGCCTCTTTGGTCATTTGCAATTTGAGATCGAAAGGGCAGCAATCTATAACCATTGTGTTAGATACAAGAACAGTGAAGAGAGTTTATTCCATTCTGAATACAAGTTAGACATTGTGAATAAGTTCCAAATAAACTTATTTTTAATTAGAAAATGTTAACACTACCAAAGCAATATTTGATGATGTGGTTTGTTTAGAGTAACCAATCTACTGCACATCAGACAATGAAAACATTTTCTGCCAACAACTCGGAAGAAACGACAACCATTGCAGTGTCCTGAATGCAAACAGTCCATTTGAAGAATGTCACTCACTTTAAAGTTGAATCTCACGATATTTTGTGGAGCGTGTGGGTTGTTGGCTGTAAGAATTCGAGTAATTTCTTCCTTCAATTCCTAAAAGATAATCAAACAGTATGGCTAAAATACAAAAACAACATTTTCAGCCCAACAAATACTATTTTAGGAATGAAAAGCCTTTCAAGGGGAATAATATATTGACACAAAAAACAAAAGCATATCTACTAAAATGGAATTATTTTTAAAACGTTTATTATAAATAACTAGACTAGAGATGGGCAACTTGCAGCCAGCAGGCCACATGTGGCCCATGTGTCTATTCTACGCATGTGAAATTGGCCATCCCTGAACTAGACTATAAATTGTTTGGATTAGAGTAATTCCTCTGTTAGAAGGTATTATTTATTATAGGTGCACAATAATTGGGGATTTTATATACTTGAAGAAGAAATGAAGTAATTAATTAAGTTACATTACTTACTCTCTCCTTCATTTCACTAGATATGACAGTCATAGGAAAACATAGGCAGGAATTCAGCCCATTAATTTTGTTCCGACACTTTTATTAGATTTTGGCAATCTTTTAATCCCAATACCAAGCCCTTTCCCCTTATCCCTTAATACCTCTACCATTCAAGAATTTGTCTATCTCTCTTTTAAATGTTTTTCTAGTTAATTTTAACCAGGTTCAATGTCTGTTGGGAACACCTTGTCGTGAAATATACAGTTCAAAGTTTTGAAGATCATTTTTGTTGATTTTGCTTCTGTGAAGAATACAGACTGTATGTTGGTAAGGGATGGGGGACAGGTGGGGGTGGGGCAGCAGGAGTGTATACATGCATTCATAACATCCTGGCTTGACTATGTAAACTCCCCGCTTGTCGGCCTCCCGAACTCCTCCCTCCATAGGCAGCAGATTATTCAGAACTCTGCAGCCTGTGTCCTCTTCCGCACCAGGCTATCACTCTCATCCTCTCCCAATTCCACTGGCTTCCCATCACACAGAGGATACAGTTAAAGATCCTGGTCCACACTTTCAAAGTCCTCCATGGCTTTGCTCTCCCCTACCTCTGCAATCTTCTAACTCTCACCTACCTGCTCCCTCTGATCAATGGGATCCAGGTTGCTGGATCCCCCACCTCGCCCGCCCCACCACTGGCGGTCGGGTCTTCAGCCACTCTTCCCCCACCCTCTGGAATTCCATCCCACAGTCGCTCCAGCTCGCCCCTTCCCTTGCCTCCTTCAAGACCCATCTCAAGACCCTCCTCTTCAACGGTGCCTTCAGTCACCTCTCTATCCACCCCTTGCCCTCCACCCTCCCAGATCCAACCCTCAGCTTGGGTCCAAAATACTGATTGTCCAGTGCCTTGGGACGTCCTCCCAATGGGAAAGGCATTATACAAATGTAATTTGTTGTTGTTGTTGTTGTGTACAGTTGTCCTTAGCATCCCCGAGTTATGGAGAACAAAAATCAACCAGAGTTTACATTTGATATCCTTTTGATATGGTACTCATTTTGCAGATTGCAATAGTGTAGAAGGACCCAAACCAAATCAGATGCTCCACCAACTAAGCTACCAGGATGTCAGTTTAGAAGTACAGCGACCCTCCTGCTTGGCTCCTATCAGCACCTCTTCACAACAAGCGCTGACAGTATAGCATCACTATTCATGGATGATTCTTGATAAACATTGCCCTCCTCCGCCACTATCTCTCACTATCCTCATTCATCTAAGTGTTGGAACACGAGTCATGGACTTTCGTTACATCCAGCTTGACTTCTGCTAACTTTCTGCTTGACACACTTCCCAACTCTTTCCTCCACAAGCTGCAGATTATTCAGAACTCTGCAGCTCGTGTTCACTCTCACTAAACTCTGTAACCCAATCACCCCCATCCTCGCCCGGCTTCACCGGCTCCCAGAGGATCCTCGTCCTCACCTTTAAAGTCCTCCATGATATTACTCCTCCCTACTTTGTCACCTACTAAAATTTTACCAACCTGTCCGCTCCCTTCGTTCATCAGGCACTGGCCTGTTCACGTCCCCGTCCTGCTCACATCACCGTCGGTGGTCGGACTTTCTGCCTTTTTGCCCCTTCCTTCTGGAACTCCATCCTGGAGCCCGTCCGCCTCAATCCCTCCCTTGCCTCCTTCAAGGCCATCTTGAGACCTTCTTCCTTGACCCTGCCTGCAGTCATCTTCTCACCTCCGCCTCACTTTGCCCTCCACCCATCTTGATTCCAACCCCCAACTCGGGTGGAAACCCTTCACTGTCCAGTGCTTTGGGATGTCCCCCTGACATGAAAACAAAGCAATTTGTTGTTTTTGTTGTTGTTGTAGTACAGTCCAGCCTCAATGCAACAACATTGCAATATGGTGTTTAGAATCCATAAAATCCCAACTCCACATTATAATAAGGGGTATGTGTAGCAAAGCAGCATGTGGCATTGGAAGTAACCAAAGGCGCAATACAAATGTAAAAACAAAACAAATTTGACCATTTAATGCTTGTTTCCCATGCACCAGACAAATGCACACATGAGTAATGAACAGCGAACACAGTGCAACCGTGTTACAAGCGAATTCATGCTATAATGAAACACATTAAGGCAGGGCTGTGATGCAGGTCTGATTTTTTTTAGATTATATTGTACTCCCTTCACTTGCACGAGCAAAATTAACTCACTGTTTCAGAAAGTTCCAGTTGATCAGGAGGTTTAAGAAGAGGTCTTCCCATCCAGTCTTCACCTCCATCTCCATACTCCATTGTTTCATCTTCATCCTATTGCAGAAACACATATACTTTCATTGCCTTGATAAACTCCCTGCACAATTGCTACAAATTTTAATTAGCTAGCACAATCTGTAGGCTATAGAAAATTAAACACCATTACAACAACAACTTGCATTTATATAGCGCTCTTCACGCAGGGTGGCGTCCCAGAGGGCTTGCTTGACAGTGGCGGATTCTGACCCCAAGCCAGGGGGAGAGGACAGTGGTAGATGACCATAAGCATGACCAAAGAAGGAGGCCTTTCAGTGGAATTTGAATGTGGAGAGTGAGGAGGGCAAAGCAGAGGGATTGAGGGAGAGTGTTCCAAAGTTTTGGGTGGTGGTGGCTGAAGGCACGGCCACTGATGCTGGAGCAGAGGGCATGAGGGTAGATTGGGAGGCCGGAGCCAGCCGAACAGAGGCAGCGTGTGGTGGAGTGGGGGGATAAGCAGGTCGGATAGGTAGGGAGGTGTGAAGGAATGAAGGCATTTGAAAACGAGTGAGAGGATCTTGAAGTCAATCTGTTTAGTGATTGGGAGCCAGTGGAGCCTGGCAAGGACTAGTATGATAGGGTTATGGAGTTTTGTGCGGGTGAGTATCCGGGCAGCGGAGTTTTGAATTAATTGGATTTTGTGCATAGTTGAGCTGCGGAGCCCAGTGAGGAGGACATTGGAATAGTCATACCGGGAAGTGACAAAGGCATGGACAAGGGTTTCAGCTGGATCGGTTTTGAGTTATGGATGGAGGTGGGCAATGTGGCAGAGGTGGAAAAAAACTGTCCAGATCAGGAGTTGAGGAGTTCAGACCCGCAGGAGAGAAGACGTTGACGGGAGCCAAAAAGTATGGCTTCCGTCTTGCCGACATTCAGCTGCAAGAAATCTGCGCTCATCCAGGCCTTGATATCCATCAGACAAGTTGACAAGACATCAGCAGACTGGGAGTCGCAGCTGCAAAAGGACGACACCCAAATCTACTTCTCCGCAGACATGGGGTCAACTTCCAACTTCCCTCAACTATCCCTTCTACCCCACATCTGTGCCATGACCCGCTCTGCCTTCCCCCACCTCTGCAACATCGCCCAGCTCTGTCACTGTCTGACACCGCAGGCAGCCAAAACCCTCATACATGCATTCATAACATCCAGGCTCGACTATGAAAACTCCTGCTTGTTAGCCTCCCAAACTCCTCCATCCATAGGTGCAGATTACCCAGAACTTTTTCATGTCCTCTCCCACAGGTTCCTATCACCCCCATCCTTGCCCGACTCCACTGGCCCATCACACAGAGGATACAGTTCAAGATCCTAGTCCTCACCTTCAAAGCCCTCCATGGCCTTGCTTCCCCCTACCTCTGCAACCTCCTAGCCCCGTAGCAACCTGCCCGCTCCCTCCACTCAGCGGGCTCCGGCCTGCTTCACGTCCCCTTCCTCGCCCAGCCCATTATTAGCGGGTGAGCCTTCAGCCACTCTGCCCCCAAATGTTGCTGGATTTTGTGTATGTTGGAGCTGGGGAGACCAGCGATTGTTGTTGTTGTTGACCCCATGTCTGCGGATGACCTCGCTGAGGAGGTGTACATAGATAAGGAAAAGGATGGGGCCAAGGACGGAACCTTGGGGTACCTCGTAAGTGACCGGGTAGGGGACGGAGGAAAAAACATTTGCCCAGATGTATTGTTGGCGGTTTGTTAAGTAGGACTCAAGTTGTGTGACTGCAGTCCCACTAAGGTTGAAGGGGAAGAAGAGGCAGTGAAGGAGGATTGCGTGATCGACTATATCAAACACGGCAGAGAGGTCGAGGAGAACGAGAAGCACAGGTAGCCCTGGTCACAGAGCGAGGATGTCATTTTTTACTTTGACGGGTGCTATCTCTATGCAAGGCGAAAAGCAGACTGGAGGGCTTCGAGTAGGGAGTGGAGGGAGAGATGTGAGCGAAGTTGATATGCAACATAGCATTCCAAAACTTTGGTCTGGAGGGGCAGGTTTGAGATGTGTCTGAAGTTTGTGAGGTTGAGGGATCGAGTAAGTTTTTTAAGGAGAGGAGTGATGACACCGGTTTTGAATGGGAGTGGGACAGAGCCTGAGGAGAGGGACTGGTTGATTGTGTCAGCCACCAGTGGGCACAGGAGGGGGTGTCGATGCAGCAGGAGGTGGGCTTAGTCTGGGTGATGGTGGGGGAAAGGGAGGAAGGGGAGATGGGGGCAAAGGAGTGTAGGGTGAGCCGTGTTAGGAGATTATTATGGAATGAGATGAAGCCAAGTATATACACAATATTGATTGTTGCCTCATTCTGCTATCCTTCAAATGCTATAGTAAACCTCACATAAGTCGAATCAGTCGGGACCATACATTTAATATGACTTATGCAAAGTATGAATTATGTGAAACTTGCTTAAGTCGCATCATATATGATTTATGTAAATTCATGTATGTCAGATTTTACAGTAAAACTTGCATAATCCTGATTTGTATGAATCATATAATTGTCTAAGTCATACATCTGCCCAAGTCCTGTTCAAGAGTTTATAATCTATGCAAGTTTGACACAGCTCATACTTTCATAAATCATGTTGAAGGTATGATCCCAATTGATATGACTTATGTGAGGTTTACTGTAAATGACTTACACATAACAAATACACAAGTACTGAACTGCCTGATGCCATTAAGGCAAGGTTTCTGCAGCACATTTCATTCTTGCATATTAAAGCTATGTAATGTAAGGCAAGGAAATGGTAGCCCAATCTTTCCATATACAGCACTGTACTTAGTATATCTCATGTGCAGAAAACATATAATAACAATAAATAAATAATAATCCTTGCATTTGATATAGCGCCTTATCACGCTGTGGAGCTCAGTGGTTAGAGCACTTGCTTTGCAAGTGAGAGACCTGGGTTCAATTCCAGGCAGAGGGCGAAACCTTGGGCAAGTTTCCTTACTCCACACGAGCCTAATAATAATCCCTCCAAAAAACCAAAAACAATAATTAAATTGGGCATTTTCAATCTACGACTGTTTGTGGGACATTGCTGTGCGCAATTGGCTGCCGCGTTCGCCCACAAATATACAGTCAATTCACTTTACAGTGTGTTCTGTGAAGCGCTTTGGGACGTCCTCCTGACGTGAAAAGCGCTATATCAAATGCAAGGATTATTATTATTATTATTATTATTATTATTATTATTATCACGTCTTTGAGACGTCTCAAAGCGCTTCACACGATATACTGTGTATTTTGTGGGCGAAACGCAACAGCCAATTGCGTACAGCAGTGTCCCACAAACAGTCAAGGATTGAAGTGATCAAATTATTAGTATTTTTTTGAGGAGGAAACTTGCCTCTCCTGATAACTCGAATTTACAGCAATGGAAACATCCAGTCCGCAATCAGTCACTTTTATCTGAACCTTTACACTTAACTCCTTCTAGTCATCCACACACCAGTGAAGTGGGGCACAGATGGGGGGTGGAGTGGGGACCCCTTTGAGCATTATATGTACTCTACAATGAATGGCACAACCAAACAGGTTTCAGAACAGAATTGTTTTAATAGAATATAAACCTACAAAAAGTATTAACACTGCAAATGAATAATCAATCACATTTTAAGAAAATGTTACGTCAAACATAAACCCTCAATCCACTCTGCCTGATCTACCCCACTCAAAGTAGGTGGCTTCAAATCAAACTTGTAGGCAGTGTCCTTTTTCATTTCAAGATTTGCCTCGCAAAATTGGAGAAGCTGGTACTTCTTGATAGTACTTGAACTCAGTCAAAGCTGATACTCTAATTCAGTTCCAAGGAAGTGCTGCATGGTCAGATGTGCTATCTTTGGATGAGACATTAAACTGAAGTGCTATCTTCATATTAAAGATCTCATAGCACTATTCAAAACGAATAGTGTTCTGGCCCAAAGTCCCCTCGTTTAAAAAAAATGGTAATTAACTTCTTGCCAGTTTGTGGTTCTTACTCTGCAAATTGGCAGCCTCAGCAACTGCAAATACATAGTCACTATACCTTACAGAAAAAGTCTTGTGAAGCACATTGAGATGTTTTGACTTGATACGGCATTAATGTAAGCATTATTATTTTTTTAACTGAAATGATTGAGAAAATATCCTTACCTTTTTGGTCTTCCTGGAGCTCTTATCACCTTTTGCCTGGCCTTTGCCTGGTTGTAAGGAGGTGGAAGCCTAGTAGAAAGATAATATATAAATATTCATATGAATCTATGTTAATTTCAAATAGCATAATTGATGATTTCAATAGTATTTAAGATATTAAAATATATACAAACAGAACATTAATTAGCATGCTATCATGCCCCTGAATTCCTTTATTTACTAACTATGGAGTTAGAGTCCTGTAGCTCATTGGTTAGAGTACTCGCGTTGCAAGCAAGATACCTGGGTTTGATTCCCAGCAGGAAGAAATGTTGGGCAAGTTTCCTTACTCTACATGCCTCTGTTTACCTAGCAGTAAATAGGAACCCGATTGTTAGCCGATTGGCAAATTGCTTTTCCAGGGGTAGTAAGTAATTCCATCAAAAAAAAATTGATCACTTCAATCCACAACTGTTTGTGGGACACTGCTGTGCACAATTGGCTGTCGCGTTTCGCCCATAAAATATACAGTTAATTCACTTTACAAAGATGTCTCAAAGACGTGATAAGGCGCTGTGTCAAATGCAAGGATTATTATTATTATTATTATCTAATTTCATTTCCAATGGCATGGTTTGAAAAGCAAAATAAGAAGAAAAATTGCATTCTTTCGGGAGTTTGTTCATAAAAGTGATGAAAATGAATGAAGGTTTTCTACAGACATTTGATGAATAAATACTGTATAAAGCAACAATCATCAACAGATTCCCCTTCCCATTGGGAAATCATCCAGTAATCTCAATCAACACATACTTGGGCTTAAAATATCTGATTATTCTCTATGTTTCGCTATGTAAAATCAAACTAATTGATGACATTGTTTTTGGCATTTATGTTTACTGGAAATATCAGGTAATAGAATAGAAACTGTTTTTAGTATGCTTTTTGATAGCTGATAGTAGAATTTTTTTAAAAAAAATTTTGGATAGGTGATAGACTTGAGTGCTGCAAACATTCGCTTCACTTTAAATATTAATGATCATCCAGTCATAATTACATTTTATTTTCAAAATCTTCCAAAGAACAATTGGATCTTGGTTTCTGAAATGTTCCCATTGTTCTCATCCATTATTTTGTGCATCTCCCTCTGTAGAAATTCAAACCACTTTTGTACATTGTATGGAGTTCAATTCTACTTCACTCATCAATAAAATGGAAATTGCTGCATCTGTTTTGTCTTCACACTTCTCCACACAACAGTAGTTTTCCACAAATGTGAACTGGCAAGTTTGCAAATACAAAGAAACAAATGTAGAGAGTTTGGCAAATTAGTCAAGTTGTCTAAATGCATTGAATTGCCTAAATGCAATCCAGAAGAATGACAAGAATAATGTCAGGATATAGTGTGATTTTTTTTAAGAGAAACTCACAGGATTGAGCTTTCACAAAACCGGAAGGAATCATGATTCATGTTTTTAAAATGCTGAGTGAAATGGTTACGTTTGTTGATGGCATCTAAATTAAAGTGTATGGCAAACTGAGAAAGAACACAATGTACTGTGAGAAGAAATAGATAGCTCAGCAGAATGAGCAGTTTGGTGGTAAATGTAGGTTTCCTGTTGAGAAATGAACAATAACAAGAACAAAATTACATTTTACGTCAGGAGGACGTCCCAAGGCGCTGGACAAACAGAGTTACAGACCCGAGCTGCAGGTCGGGGTGGGGAAGGGTAGAGGCCAGGGGGGAAGCAGGGAAATCAAAAGCACGGTCGAAGAGGAGGTCCTTGAGGTGGGTTTTGAAGGTGGCGAGGGAGGGGGCGAGACGGAGGAACTACGAGATGGAGTTCCAGAGGGTGGGTGCAGAGTGGCAGAAGGCCCGTCTGCCAATAGTGGGGCGAGCAAGGCAGGGGACGTGAAGCAAGCTGGAACCCACTGAGTGGAGGGAGTGAATAGGGTGAGGTAGGGGAAGGGTGTGGAGGGCTTTGAAGGTGAGGACCAGGATCTTGAACTGTATCCTCTGTGTGATGGGAAGCCAGTGGAGTTAGGCAAGGATGGGATGATAGGGTCGCGGAGTCTGGTGCGGGAGAGGATACAGGCTGCAGAGTTCTGGATGATCTGCAGCCTGTGGAGGGAAGAGTTGGGGAGGCTGACAATTAGTGAGTTTGTATTATCGAGCCTCGATGTAATGAAGGCGTGTATGAGGGTTTCGGCGTCCTGCAGTGTGAGTTGTCGGAGGCGGGCGACGTTGTGGAGGTGGGGGAAGGCAGAGCAAGTCATGGGGCAGATGTGGGGTAGAAAGGATAGTTGAGGGTAAAACAAGACCTCAAGGTTCCGGATTGGCCTAGTAAGGTGGAGCGTGCAACCATGGATAGAGATGCTGTCAGCGCCTGAGTTGAGGAGGCGCTGATGAGAGCCAATCAGGAGAGCCTCGGACTTGTTGATGTTCAATTGAAGAAAGTTAGCTCTCATTCAGGACTTGGTGTCTGACAGACATTCTGTCAGGACAGCAGTGATCCTGCAGTTGAGGGTAGAGGCAGAGAGGTAAAGTTGGGCGTCATCCGCATATATGTGAAAGTTGACCCCATGTCTGCGGATGATGTCATCTAGAGAGAGCATATAGATATTGAAGAGGAGGGGACCAAGATCAGAGCCCTGAGGAATGCTGCACAAGACGGTCCGGGGGCTAGAGGAGAAGCCGTTTGAGGAGATGAAGTGCAGTCGGTGTGAGAGGTACGATCTGAACCAATCAAGGACAGCACCGTGGAGGTTGAGGTGAGAGGAGAGGCAGTGGATGAGGATGGAGTGGTCGACGGTGTCGAAAGCTGCAGAGAGGTCAAGGAGAACAAGAAGGATGAGGAGGCTAATGAAATGAAGTTGTAGATGTTAGGGAAAGAGAACAAAGGGAAGCAATCTACGCTAAATCATTTAGTTCTTAAGGATGTTGACGAGAAATCAAGCGGGACAGATTGGAGTACTGGTTACAGTTCTAGCAGTGCACAGTGTTGTTTCACATGGTTGATACCAGGAAGAAGGGGATATTGTTTGGAAAGAACCAGAATTGATTGTTTCTACTTGAATAAAGAAGTTTCAGATCGTGTTTTGTGGAGGCCTTTAGAATAACAGTATTAATTTGAATTAATGTAATTTCCAATAGTAACGTTTTCATTTGAGATTTCTTCTTCCAAAATAAATGCAACTGAGCTCAGTTGTAATACTGTATAAGCAAACTCATGGAATGACTCAATTCTTGCTGGTCCAGTTTATTATGTTTTTATTGTACTTCTAATTAAATATTCTTCTCTAAGTTGTAGAATTGAAACATGTTACATTTAGAAACAAGATTGTCTTTTGTTTTTGTGAAAATAACAGGGTAAAATAAAGTTATTTTTAAAAAAATGCTGTACATAGCCTCTCCTCAACCAGCCCCAGATTTCCCCAAGGAGAAATTAACAAGCAAGGTTCACAATTAAAGAAACATATTTAGTCAGTGGCATTCTTGTCTCTGAGACAGAAGGTTATGGATTCACCTTTGGGACTTTGAGCTCAGTTTCTAATTGTAATATTATATTATTTCATCCTTACATTGTGACGTCTTCTGAAGGCAAATGGAACAGACAATTTGCACTCAGCAATGGCTCACAAACAGCTACAAAGTGAGTAGCCAATTTTATCTGTTGGCCAGAACACTGGAAGAAACTCTCTTCTCTTTTACCAAAACATAAAGATCCAATATTAAGTCAAAGGCCAACAAGTCGAAGCTCCAAATACAGATATACTGTACATATCCCAGCAATATAGATGCTAGATTTATCACCTACAAAAACACAGTCACTGAATTTGAGAATTAAGTAATTTGAGATCCCCTCCACCCCCACCCACCATGTGAAAGGCGGTATATCGAATGCAAGGATTATTATTATGAGGTTTGCAGTGAATACAATTACTCTTTAAACAATATTTTATATGCATATTATATGCATAGAACGTCAGTGAGTTCACCTACAAAATAAGTCACAAACTTTACAGTAAATCTGTAAAGTCCTCTCTCTGAAAGGTGCTGCATCAAATTGTTATTGCTGTATTATTAAATATATAATTCTATAATATATAATCCTATGATAATGAATATTACTAATTATATTCATAATGAATACAATAACAATAATGCTTGCCTTTGAGATAGCACCGTATCAAGTCGTTGCGATGTCTCAGAGCTAATGAATGATTATAATATAATGAATAGAATATCTTCCTATTAACAACAATCCTTGCATTTGACATAGCGCCTGATCGCGTCTTCGAGACGCCTCAAAGCGCTTCACAGAATATACCGTGAAGTGAATTGACTGTATATGTGACTATATAGAGTGGGGGAGAGAGAGGGTCGGGGATTAAAATGCAGAAATAGTAAAGGATAGTGGGAATTTACCAGTTTGGCTTTGGTCGATTGTCGGGGCGGCATCTCCGCCTCTCCTCAGTCGTTCCTCCTCAGCAGAAAAAAAGGAGAGAGAACAGAAAACCGTAGCACCTGAAAAGTGGGGGGAGGGAGGAGAGGAAGAAAAAAAGTATAAAAGGAGTTGGTGAGGAAAGCCGAGCAATGGAAGCAGCAGCAGCAGTGGTTGTTGTTGGTGGTGATGGCGGCGGTTGCCTTGGTAACAAGCAGAGCGCCTCCCACACCCAAACAAATAAAAAAAAACCACAATATCCCAAACTATTCACGAGCGGAGACAGCGAAAGTGACCGCAGAACAAAACAACGACTCTTTCACGGTCATTCTTCTCGTCTACGTTTTTTTTTAAAAAAAATTAAAATTATAACAAATCCTGACCGCGATTCGATCCTCTTCGCCTTTATTCCTTCCTTCCTTCCCTCCTCCTCCGCCGCCGCCGCCGCCGGCCCACTCGTTACCAAGGCAACCGCGAGCAGCCCGGGGCGGGGGAGGGACCGGGAAAGCTGTCTCCAAATCTGCCTGAGTAGAGAGAGAGAAAAACAAATGCGCTTCAATTATTTTTATGTGTGTGTGCGTGCGTGTGTGTGTGTGTGTCCGGATTTTTTAAATATATATATATATAATATTGTGGAGTGGATTTGATTTGTTTTGTATTTAATTCTCTCTCTCCACCCCCCCTTCCACCACTCACTCACTCACTCCCTGATTGCGAAGAGTGTGAGAGAGAGGGGGGAGGGGGTCCTCCGCCGCCCCGACAGGCGTGACGAGGGAAGCCGGCGTCTGAGTGAGTCACCCGGTGACGACGCTCGCTCGCTCGCAGTGATTTGAGGAGGGCGGGACGCGGGCGGTTTTCACGCCCAACTGCGCGTGTTCCCTCCCCCCCCTTAGCGTAACGTGCGTGGTGGGGGTTTGAAAAAAAACGGCTGCTTAATTTTTAAATGAGAGGACGGGGGGGGGGGGTTCAAGACCTTTTCTGACGTACATTTCATATATATATGTATATATAGGTTAAAAAAAGAACCTTAAAGCGTGGGCACAGAGGGCACGCGTCACGTCGGGCTACTTTTCGGGGCGGTTTGGGCTACTTTAATGTCGGGCCGCCCCGTGAGTCAGTCGAGTCGGACGAGCGGACTGGTTTGAGCCGAAGCGAACCGTGAAGCGGGTGGGTGGTCAGGACAGGGAACATGTGAGAGAGAGAGAGAGAGAGGGAGGGAGAGAGGGAAGGAGAAAGAGAGAGAGAGAAAGAAATAAAGGAAGGAAGGAGTACGTAACAGAGAGAGAAAAAGAGAGGCACCAGCAAAAGGTTATCGCAGAGTCTTATTATATTATTTTACGTATTAATTCGCTCGTCCGGGCCGGGAAATTGCTTTGCTTTTTTTTCTTGAAAACACCGTCTCTTTTATTTCTTTTTTTAAAAAAACATTGCTGCTGCTATTTCCCCCCCACACATACCCCCCCCCCACATACCCCCCCCCCCCCCCCCCACCCCTCAAAAAAATGATGGAGGAAATCGATCGCTTTCAAGTCCCTACAGCTCGTTCAGAAATACAACCTCTG